CCCAGGCTGTGCTTGAGCGGCCCCATCCCGCCCCGCTGCAGAGCAGGGCTGGGCACCCCTGCCCAGCGCCGCCTCGCCAGCCTGGCCCTGGGGGAAGGCGCCGGCAGCCCCGCGGGGCTCCCCGGAACGCCTTGCGGGCCCTCGCGGCTTGTGCCGGGGCAGCCCCTCCTCTTCCACCGCAGGCTGGCAACCCCATTAACGGAGGCTTGAGCCAAATTCGGTGTCTTGGGTACTTGCTGCTGATGCCAGCAGAGGCTGGAGGGGACCGGGGCCCCTGGGAGGAAGCGGCTTTGCCTTCCCCACCCTCCCAAAGCCTCAGCCCCGCATACTGATCAGCTACACCTCTGAGTGCCATGCAGGGTCTTCCCCTTTCCCTCAGCTGCCTCCCCTTCCTCAGACGATCCCGATCCCTTGCGTCCCACGGCTGTTCAGTCTCGCTTTCCCTTTCCTCCAGCTGTAGCGTGTGCGGAGAAATGGCTGGGCCGCAGGTATCTCTGCTGTTGGAGTGGGTTTTGAGCCGGTTGGTTTCGAGATGAGTCGCTTCCATCAGAACTCGCAGACAGCGGGTGGCTGATGAAACCAGAGCACCCCGCTGCCGAAGGAAACCGTCCCTCTCCTGTCACCTGGGGACGGCACCGGGGCCGCAGGAGCCTCGCTCCTGCCCTTTCCCTCCACCCCCATTCAGCACAGCGTGCTTCGAGCTGTAAAAAAGGGTCTCGGTGCTGCGGGTGAGGTGCCGAAGGCACGGCGGGCTGCCGGCTCAGACCCCGCGGCGGGGGCAGCCGCCTGCCGGGCGTTACCCTCCGTGCCAGGGCCCGGGGAGGGAAGGGCTCCCCAGCACGGCGCCTGACCCTGAACAAACCTCTGAAACAGTGCAGTTTCTGCGAATTTTGCAGAATCATAGAATCATGAAGGTTGGAAGAGACCTCTAAAATCATCGAGTCCAACCGTCGACCCAACACCCCCATGCCCACTAAACCATGTCCCTCAGCGCCTCATCTACACGTCTTTTAAATACCTCCAGGGATGGGGACTCCACCACTTCCCTGGGCAGCCTGTTCCAATGTTTCACCACTCTTTCAGTAAAGACATTTCTCCTCACGTCCAATCTAAACCTCCCCTGGCGCAACTTGAGGCCAGAAACTTGCCTTCCCCCGCTCAGGGCCCCACCCATGAAAATCCCCGGTCGATGCACCCCAGCGGGAGCTAACGTGGGGCCCGGGGGCCGCAGCGGCCGCCCCGTTCCTTCCCCGGGGGGGCCTGGTGCAGCCCGGCACAGCCCCTGCGCCGCTCGGACCCTCCCCGGCGCCCCCGCGGATAAGGCCGGGCCGGGCCGGAGCTCCCGCCCCGGGACTACACCTCCCGTCCTGCCCCAGGCGAG